AGCATTGGCACTCCTCAGACAGTGAACTACATCATTGATACGTGTGGGGGGAGTGACTTTTAATAAACAAAAGAACTATTGGACTTGTAGAGACAGCAACGAGAACCATGTAGTAGTAACTGTTGGTTTTTAAGCATATAACTACCACAATTTGCTGGGGTGGGAGTGTCTCAACAGCCTGACTGCCTATGGCATAGACCATAAAAATGAGGCCACGTTTCACTTGCAGTTATGTTAAATTAAAGGCAAATCATCACTTTGGCATTTCTACCCAAGATATTTTATCCATGATGAGTATGGTGTTTGGAGATTCCTGAATTGATGTCTGTTTAGTATAGTTATGGGGATCCAAAGAACAGCTGCCTTCCAGAGTAGCCTGGAAGGTGGGGGAAGGATGTTGAAGTACTTATGTACATCTGTATAACCCATCATTTTTCTGCATTAATATTTGCTTGAAAATGGAAGGGAAGTAGAGCAGAAAGTCAAAGTGAACTACTATTTTTCTGTAAAAACTAAAATGGCTCTTGAAGTCCAACCTTCAGTGCAGTGATGTCCCCATTTCACTGTTTAACGTAAAAGCCTTGATCCTTAGGGGTAAAGAAGTAATAGTATATAAAAAGGAGATCTGAGTATTGTTGCTTACTAGGTGGCTGTCTGTTGAAAACAGAAGTTCAGAGAGATTTAGGAGAGAATCAGTGTGGTAATGTTATTTCTGTATCCCTGGTATCCAGTTGATAATTTATTTGCAGTGTGCCTGCAAGACCTCTGAATGAGGATCTCGACTAGAAAAAAAATATCTATGGCTTATAGCAATAGTACCTTGGTCATCACGAGTCATTTGCTTACTGGTGGAGACTGGAGACTGCTACTTGTGTGTTTTTATAAACCAGCTGGGGTCTATAAGCTTGTGTGTTGAATATCTGCATTGGTGTACCTTTTTAAAGTGCTGCCATGTATTTGCTGTTGAATTGTTAGCATGTGAAAGGGAAGGTATGATCCTGATACTTAGTGCCTCCTCTCAATGAAATAATTTCTACTACCAGTGTGTTTTTTCTCTGATTGTCTTCTCAACTGAAAAATTTCTTCTCTGCCTGTGTATAAAACATGCCTGTAGACAAAAGTGGGAGCATGAGTCCTGTATTGTGAAAATAAATGACAGAAATGGACTTCTTCACATAGTGGTAAATCAGCAATGTACTTGTCTGAGAAAATTTTCATTTGAATTTACTGTCTTTGCAAGTAGAATTAAGAGTGTGCTTGCTTCTGAAGGTTGGAATGGTATTTTGGTACATTTGCGGTTGTTGGAGACTTGTTATTTTCTGTTTACTTCTCTTGATGAGTTGCTGTTTAATTATTAAAGTCGGGGTTTATTTTTTGTGTTGGTGATTTCTTGGCTTATTTTCTTGGTTATGTGAATAAACCTTTCTAAGGTAGAACAGTTTATTTGGTTATGTGGCAGTAAGCAAAGCTTTTTTCTTAATGGACAATGGGCAATAGATTTTAGTGTTCAGAAAATAATGGTTTGCCCATTTTTTTTCTCTGTTCTTATTCTGGCAGTCTTGAGTAACTGAAAATGTCTTTGCAATTAAGTACCCATAGTAGTGCTGCTTGTTTCTATCAAAAACATATTTTAATCTTCCAGGGTTAACGTGAACTTAATGGGGGTTTTTTTTGCAAGTTTTGTTTTACCTAGTACATTGAAAATTTGTGGATTAGAGTATTTCAGTATTGAACTGAAAAAATGTAAGTGTCCTGATGTTAAAAAAAAAAAAGTGCTACAACTACAAACTAAAACCACAAAGAGCCCTGCAGTATCCCAGCCTGAACCCCTGGTCCTTAGGAAAGCAGACTGTTCAGACTTTCAAGTTTTGTTCCTGGTTCTGTAATGAACATGTTTTTACCAGAGCAGTGACGTAATGCATGTCCCAATTTCACCTGCCAAAATAGGATGGATACTCTGATGTCTGGTTTTCCCTTTCACTGAATTGGAAGCAACATTCTCTTTCAAAGTGCTTTTTGATTCTGGGAAATTTTTTTTTTAAACAACCCACATACAGAAATGATAAACATGGCTTATAAAATCAGAAGATAGACTATTTAGTGAAACCTATGTATGCTTACTAGAAGTACTATCTGATTTAATTTGAAAAGGATCTGTAATGTTGGATTTGTATGAAATTGCTTGCTCTTGTTTGCAGACTTTATTCCCAGCAAGTTATATTGTTTGTAAGGGAATATTTAAAATTCTTAAGTGTAGAATTCAGAAATGAGGCCAAAATATTTTTTGTTTCAAGTTTTTTTTTAGACTTAACACAGAGTTTCCTTAAGTAGGAATGCCTCGTCTGTTCTTATCTAAATAAATGCAATCTGTCAGGAACCTACCTAGGCTGTGTTGTGTGGACATTTAAATACATCAGTTTGTTAAGATTTGTCACCTTCTCCTAAGAAATACCATTGGGAGGTTTGAATGCAACCAGTTCTATAAAAGCTGAATAAAGCATTTATAAAATTTGTAAAAATACCAGGATTATTTATTATTATATTAATTCTAAGCAAATAATTTTGAATTAGTATATGAAATACAAGAAAAGTATATTTCTACTGCTCAAAGGAAACAAAGTTTAAAAAAAAGTTTTGACTGCCTTTCAAATTTTTTGACTGATTCATTTAACAACTCGAATAAGAAAGCTCAGCTTAGAGGAAATTTTCAGCTTGACAGGACTTTCCTTTAGCACTGACCCCTTTGACCCATCATTTAATTGATATTTCCTTGTTGTCTCTCAAATTCTTTCCATTTAGTGGCTGAGTAGTGACAATGTTGAATGTTGGCTTCTGTAAGACAGTGCTTTAAATCCTTATTGTCCTTACCTATCAAGAGTTCTGGGTTAAATAAAAGGTTCTTGCTTTTGCTGTCTTTATGTCAGTAATCATTTCTTATTTTGTCGCCAAGTGTAGAAAACAAGACATTTATTACTAAAAATAAGTTGTTTTCCCCGATAGGAAATGTTTTGATGCCTCTCTTGCTATCCAAACTATTTAATTTATAAATTGACATTGTGTGGGTATTGTCCCAATGAACAATGACTAAAAGAGCCCTGGATGTTTCTCTGTTTTTCAGGGCTCATCTCAAGTGCAGTGACTCCAATTTTTGCTTTTTCTTTAATCAGCATTTCCATGTGCTAAGGAGACTTTCAGCAGATGATAGGCAGTCTATGGATCAAATTCCAGAAACCATTTGCCTGAAGCATTTGTGTAAAAATGTCTGAAGTAGAAATCATATTTGTCAGCAGGGAAAATGATTTAAGATATCAAGGTTGAGGGAGGTAAAGGGTACGTGGAAGATGCATGGGAAACCTAGAGATGAAGGGACATTATTGTCATGGCAGGATTTAACAATCTCAGGAGTGATTGTAACTAGTAATGAAACCTGTGGAGCATTCCCTATTTGTTCAGTAGTGTCTTGGTGTTGGCTGTTTTCTCTGTCAATGTTAAAAGAAAAAAAAAAAGAAAAGAAAATCAAATGCTTGGGATGTATCATTCCTATGTATTGAATACGTTAGAGAGTTGTCATAGTACGTTCCAGAAGGAATGCTTTTCTTCAGATGTTTAAAAGCTTTGCAGAGGGAGCTCCTTATCCCGTAACTGGTCTTTGCTGGCAAACTGTAAATCCTGCAGAACCAGTTACAAAACTGGAACTGAAATATAGATGTTTCAGCTCTTTGTCCAAATGCTCATGTAGTGTGGAAATATCAGGACAAAAGGAGTTAATTCTGGAAGAGCTGTATACACCAGAAATACCATTTTCGAGGACATTTTTCCTTTTCTTATGAATTTCTTATGCAATGCAATGTTTGTATGATGCTTGGCCATATTTTCACTGTTATGCGGAATTAGAATTCTTACAATGCAAAGATGCGAAGGATTATATTAAATATATTTGGAGTATTTATTTGGAGCATATTTTGCTTGAATGTATTTTAAATGAGATGTTAGTATTTCTACAAAGTACTTAGAAAAAATCAGTTAATCATTGTAATAAGAAAACTGAGGACAGGGAAGAAATAGCAGTCCTTGAATAAAGTACTTTAAGTGATTAGGTACTAGTTTACCTCCCAAAAAGGTGTTAATTTATGGAAAGTTCTGTATGAGGCCAGGAAGGATAGTCTTTTCAGCTTAATTTGCAGTAATACTTTTTTGTGCCTATTTACAAAAAAAAAAAGGGAGATAAGTTCATGAGGCCAGGAAGGATAATCTTTTCAGCTTAACTTGCAGTAATACTTTTTTGTGCGTATTTACAAAAAAAAAAAAGGGAGATAAGTTGATGTACTAGACTTAGATATGGCATCGTTCTGATTAGTTTTGTCTTAAGCCATGAGTTTCCGAATTTGTTGCCTACTTGAATTAGGAATTTTTGTTGGAAACCTTTGAAATCTTGAGCTTCTGTTAAACAAGAATGCCAAAGGCGTTAGTGTGATGAAATAACTTCATAAAAGCCCAGTTTTAAGGAAGAATTTCCTGTTTCTAGTATGGGAGAGTGGAGCCTCAAATGCATGCATTTTGTTAATTTGAAAACCACTTAAGGTCTTTCGTAATGCTTTGATGTTAAATTCTAAAGTTAAGTTCTTAAAAGTACTCAATCTTGAACGAGCTAACTTGTTTTTAAAAACAGGGGAAACAATCCTACTTGAGCACATTTCTGTTGCATCATCATTTAGAACTGCGAGAAAGATTAATGATAGATATCTGGCTTGAGATTATTCATATACATTTGAGCTGTAATAACAAAACTATAGCTTAGAGCAGATTTTTTTATAAAGCAATATGGTGATTTGTGACAAACACTTTAGGAAGAGAAACTACAGGTGTGTGTGTACTTTCAATTCAATGTAAATTTGTAGGTAAGTACATGTTACAATTGTCTGTTTTTCTTTTTAGGGCTCATGTAATCAAAGGAGTTTCTTTGTTGTGTGTATCTTTTCAGAGCACAACAGGAATTCAAAATGAATCAGGTGAGTGTAAGTGTAAGACTTTGTCAAAATACTTAGATGTTAGAAGAGTTAATAATTAATAAGAAAAGTAAATAATCCACCAAAAAGAGAAATGTTCTTTAAAATCTTCAGTGCCATTAAATTTCATAATCCTTCTTTCTACAACAGGTATGCTTGTGAGGTTTATTTTGTTTCATGGATTTAAGTTTTTTGTGTGTGAATTCCCTTTAGCAGCACGTAAGTGATTACTGCTGGCACCTCTTAGAAGAGCACCTCTCCAGGAAAATCTGTTCCATCCTGAGGCTCTTGGTAATAATTCAGCTCCTTATAAAAGTGGTTTGAAAGTTGCAGGCTTCCTTTTTTTTAAACTGCTTTACAATTTCAAATGTGCAGTGAACAATCTGTCGCAGAAATTGATCAGGAAGTTTCACACTATACACAAATATAAATTAACATTATATATAATACAAATAACATTTGCGTTAGCACACTTTGAAGCGTTAGTAGTCTAGTTTGATAGGTTAACTGTTGCTTCACAATTTATTTCTACTGAGACTTGAAGTTTTTTCACCTGTAAGGTTTGTTTTGAATGCACTCAGTTGCATGAAGCAGAGCCTATTGCTCTGTCTGCTTGAGTAATAATCCTGCTTTATTAGTCGTTCTGATAAGCTTTGGATTCTGCTATAATTCTGAAAGCTGTAGATCCTAATCTGTAGTTATTATCATTTACTGTTTCCTTCCCATTTGTGTGTCCATGTCCCCTTGTGTCCTGTCTGTCATCGTGTCCCATCTGCTCCCCCCCATCAGTTTCTAGAGTTAAGATTTCTGTGCTGTATGAAAGCAAAGTCTTCATCTTTCCTATTGCGACTGCTAATATTGCTTATGCAGTGCTGTGATGTATGTCATCTTACAATTAAATAATGAGATGACCCTGCCTCTGGGAGTAGTTACAATAGCTTAGAGTCCTTCTTAGTGTTTCTGGCTTTCACATTTAGTTTCCCAAGTATACAGAACTCATATTTTAGTGTTCAATTACCATTCATATTAAGCATCAACCCTGTGGTGTTTTTTCTTGCAGTGCCCTTGTCATTTCATTCACTGTTGACAAGTTGTAGTGCCAGGTCTGTATAAGAAATGTTTTTGCCTGATGCCAAACATCTTTCAAGTGTTCTGTTCTCACATTTCTTTAATTCTGCTTATCTCTGCTTTTGGTGTGACTTCAGTGACCCTGAAAGTAATTGAGGTTAATTTGGCTTATATAAAAAGACTGCTAGTTTTGTTGTTTATCCCACTGAAATCTTGAAGTAATGAAGAAAAAGCTTTTCATAAATAGTTTGATATGACCTTCTTGTAGTAAAGAAAAAAAAACAGCTGTTTTTAGAATTATTCTTTTTGGGTTTCTTGGAAGATTGCTGTCTCAGGATAGACAGTATGCATTCTCTATCTGTTTAAGAAGATCTTCCTTTAATATGGGAAATACTTCATCAGAGTATGCTGAATCATTTATTTAAAAAAAAACCCAAGCAAATTCTGTGTTTTGATTGGTAGCATTTCCTGCTTCTCAGACTGCATTCAGAGAGAGCAGGAAGAAGGTTGTGTGCTGCCTGAAAAGCTGCATAGGCAGTTGTTTAAAAAATAGTGAAGGCGTACATAAACAAATTACAGCTGCACTTGTACTAAAAATCCATCCCCCATTCACTCTGATTTTTTTAATTATTATTTCAAGTATTTCTGATACATCTTTAATTTTCAAGCACACACAGTGAAGTAGTTGCAAAGAGGGGTAGCCAGATAAGGTTCTTGGACAAGCAGAGACCTTTCTGCTTCTGATTTACCTTTCTTGTGCTAGGTGGCTGTTTGCCTCAGCAATCTTCCTTCCTCATTTCATCTCCTTTTCACTACTACCTCTTCTAACTTCTCGCCGTGACCCTCTCTCTTCAATGGCATCCTTTCATTTATCTTTTCATTTATCTTAATCCTACTTCCACCAAAACATGAGACTAACTGAATGTTTGTCATTCATCACGTCCTTCAGGATGACTTTCTTCCTTTTTGCCCTTATCTCTAATCATCTGTAAACATCTTCTTGCAGGTACTGTTTCTGTTCTGCTTAAATACTGCCTGTAACATTATAGTCTAATTTGTGGTTGGTCCATAGGTACATTTATATTGAAAGCGGTGTGAAAAATTCCCTAATTGATGTGTTGAAAGGTACTGTCAAAGTGGTAGGACTCTGAATTTGAAGCAAATGGGAAAAAAATAGTTTCAGTTAAGGTAGCCCATCAGCCCTCCAACGATCTTTTTTTTCATTGTTCTTGTCACTTAACCCTTGAAATTTGAATGCTAGCAACGTAATATTTCTGATGAACTTCCGAGTAAGAAGCTTAAAAATGAAATTAAGCTTCAAGTGCTTTTGTACTTAGAAGCAGTCTTGGAGTGAGTGAAAAATATTGTATTAGACTTCAGTTAAATGCAAAAGTTGGCTTAGGACATGCACCAGTACACTATCCTTACAGAGGTAAATTTTTTAAAAGAGAAAAATCAATTTAAATGTGATTGTTAAGTGTTGGTGGAAAAGCGATTGAAATACAATATTTCTTCATTTGGTAGACAGACAGACGTTCCTTGGGGACAAGTTGTGATCTGGAAAATGTTTTAAGTAGCTATATTTAAATTGCAAATAAAATGAGATTGCACTGATTTGACTGAACTAAATTGTTGTTTATTTTACTGTATAGTGTTTGGTTGCTTATTACCATTCGTTTGAGGTGTGAAATGTATTGTTATGTATTAGGCCATATCCAGTTTTCTGGTACTTGTGACATCCATTAATATGACAGGTGTCAAATGAGTCTGAGCGCTGTGTTCTCTGAATGTAGCTACTAATCTTTGATTTATGTAGGTAGATGCAAAATAAAGTTCTGATTGTATATTTCTCCATGCAAATAAACTTCTTAAATGATAGAACAGTTTGGGGATGTTTATGGCTGAAAGAAAGTGTGACTATAAAGGAATACACCAGACACATCAGAGGGTATGACACAGCACCATTCTGAATCAGTTGAATCTGATTTTTAAAGTTTTGTACATTAAAATTTATTTGCAGGCTTGAGATTTTTAACTGCTCGTCTAGCTATGGTTGTAAAAAACCCCAAAACAAAACCGATACCCCCCAGACAAACCGAACCCCAATATGAAACCCAACCAAAAAACCACCCCACTTTTGGTAGCTTGAAACTTGAAGTGCATGGTTCTGATAGCTGTCTTGCTCACTCTCCGTAGTCCCTCTCATCTGTGCCTATATATAATTTGTTAGAGACCACTGAATAATAGGCTTGGTTCTCCCCTAATGAAATCATGGGGTACTGGAAAGATACTTAGGTTTCTTTGTTTGATATGCTGAGAAGAGCATGTTTCTTTTTCATCTGATGAGACATGGCTTCTTTTGTATCAGTTCAAGGCTAACAGATGTCTGAAAATCAGACTTCTTTCATCACTATTTTTCCTTTTGGATTGTTGGAAGAGAAAAATAAAACTTTGCTCTGCTTTCAGTAGACTTCAGCTGTTAAAACTAAAGAATAAGTATTCCCCCCCAGCACAGCCCCCAGTCTCTTCACTCTCTTGCATGGGAAGGGATTTCTGACATTCTGTTCCTTCCATGGTTTCCAATCTGGGGGTCTTTCTCCCCTACAAATAGCTCTCTAGGAGGTGTCTGTGCAGCTGTTAGGGGTTACCAAGGCAGCGTTAGAATAACCTTGCTGTGACTCCAGTTTTGTCATTTTAGTTGTTGCTGTTAAAGCTGGCAGAAGACATGTTCTTGTAACTTACCTCAGCAAGTCCCATTTGTAAATGTAGAGTAAGTGCCACGCTCAGCACCCTCACAAGGAGTGGGTGCTAAGTAGAAAAGGTTGAGAAACTTTCTCTGTTCTGCTTTAGAGATAAAAACCTTAAATTTGATAGCATATTCTATATATATTTCCAGTAAACTTTCAGCATAACATGTTTTGTAAGTGCTCAATGAAAAATGTTCTTGAGTATTACTCAGAAACTATGAAAACTACTATTGTATCTCTGCTTGATGGTGATATGTAAAAGCAAGAATAATTTCCAGAAAGTTGGGGTTTAGTTGGACAACTGTAGTGTTGCCCAAGTTGTTATTTCTCAGTTTAACACCTCCTAAAGCTTGTTCAGAGCTCAGGTATAACGTCCTGCATGTTAGAGTAGTTATTGCTATCACCACCGGTATTTGCTCCTGACCAGAATGATCAAAGTTCGCTGGCAGAGGGCAGGTACTTTTTTTAGGGCTGTTGCACATGGCTCAACATATGCCTAGTTCTCACCGAGCACAATTCTTTCATAATGTGGACAGATTTTATGAGAAACTGTGCATGCTTGTAACTTTGAAATTCTGGTAATTTTTGTCAGGACTAGTGTTTTGTTCATTATAATTGGTAATAAAGAGCTAGTTGTTTAATGACAAGTGTGAGTAGCAGCAGTTACTGTCGTGTTACGCAGATAATAGTATGAATAATATTATAAGCAGACTATTGAACCTTGTGGGCTCGTTAAAATGGAGCTAATCCCTTACTAGACATGCATAAATCATATATTAGCTCTCTATTTCCTTTCAGACTTTAATATAAAAATACTTTAAAACCTTTTGTATTAACCTGCTGGCTAAGGATTCTGAGCTGTTGATTTATTTAGGAACCATGATTAACATTTAGGATACTGAAATAATAACTTTTATGGCATTATTTAAAACCCTTTAACCTCTCTAAAAGCTGTTGTTAGCTTATTCTGGTTCTTGCAGAGCAGTAAACTTGACATGCAGATACTTTAATGTGGATCTTTGGAGGGAAATGCTGTGTTTGTACGCTGCGAGTAGAGCTGTAGAAAGACAACAATAGACTCAGTAGACCCAGTTCACCTGCCTCTCGTTATTTTAATTGCCAGTAATGTGTTTCAGCAGTATAATTTGGACAAATTATATTTATGTCCTGAAACACTTCTAACTTCTCTCATCTTCTGACTATTTGTTATTCAAAAAATAACAAAAATTTCTACTAGAAGCATCATGTTACTCTTAAATATAGTAGTTTTTCAGAAGCAGTCAGGCACATTTGCTAGCAGAAGAGATCTTATTTATGATTTAGCATACAGGGGAAACACAAAATAATGAAAACTTTCATGGCTTGTTTTCAGAAAAGATTAGATCTGAATGTCAGATGAGGTCTGTTGTAGCTGTCTGTAATTTAAAGGGAAAATTAATCTACCTCCTTTACTTTTTAAATTGAGTTAGACTTTCCAGACAGGTTACGTAATAGCTAGCATGTTTTCATGCTATGTTTTTTTGAAAAAATTGAGTTGTCTAGTTTAAAAATAGAATTAAACACATTGTTTATGAATATGTTGTGTAATCAGAGTAATTTTAATGCTTCAGTAGAATGTTTAAGGAACTGGAGATTTCTGAAGTGATAACTCAGATACTAAAACTAAGGACTGTTTGTGTGAACACTGATGTGATACTTTTTTGAAGAAAGTCTCAGCATAAAAGACTAGGCAGGTTGATCAACTTACCATGTATCTTCTCTGAAATTTGGAAGAACTTTAATCAGAAATGACACAAAGGAATGTTGTTTCAACATAATATAGCATGTAATAAGACTATTGCTGACCTAATTACTTGTTAAATGTATCTTCTCATGGCGTAACTGATCAGTAAAAATAATGCAACTGAAAACTATTCCGTAGATGGGTTTTAGTTTGATCAGTTTCAAAGACTTAACACTAAGCATGAACTCATATGAAAACTGTCTTCTGAAAAACAGGTATTTTCCAAGGTATAGAACGACAGTACTTTTCTGTTCATTTATCTTTAGATATAATATAGTAGTGATGTCAGGTATGTCATGTTCGGATAGGAAAAGTAAAACACCTTTAGCTCTACTCTGCAGGTAACTCAAGGGAGAATTTTAATTTGTTTTTAAGGAGAGGTCAAGGAAAAAGAATGAATACACGAAAACCCTTCCAGTTAGGTTTGCTCACTGTGTACTGCTTGTAATAAAAATGTATTCATTAACTAAGGCAAAAGAATATTTACAGTAACTTTAGTTCCTGGTGTTTTACGTCTCTCTCTAATGTGGTCTTAGGACACTGCATTAGAGCATAAACAAGTGTGATGAAAATAGTAGTGAAAACTTGCATGTCCTGATAAAAAGATTCTCCTACATTAGCGTGTTGATGGAGGGGACCCTTGTAGAAATGGCACTTTGTAAATTTTACTTTAATTTCAAGTCAGGAATTTTTGTGGCTTGCATGGGTTGATGATCTGTTGTGCTGTGTTGTTTTTATCTGTTAATGGTTGTGGTCCTTTTGGCTTTTTGACTTGTAGAACACAACTGAATCTCCTGTTGCTGTGGAGACCTTAGATGATGTACCTGAGCACGTGCTTAGGGGACTTCCCGAGGACGTGAGGCTCTTCCCATCTGCTGTTGACAAGACACGGCTTGGTGAGTGCTACAACTGTGAAAAGAGAATGAAGATTTTTACACCAGCTCACATAAATTACAGTTATTGTGAAAGTTTGGTGCCCTCCTGTGCTGGATAGAGTTGATGTCTGGTGCATTTACCTGAAATAATTTCTGTTGACTAAGTTTCTTCAACATCCCAAGATGATGTTTCTAGACCATCAGAATTGGGGTCAGAGGTGAACCAACACGCGCATAGGTTAGGTTATGAAAATACTGATGTGTTACTTCACTGGGTTTTCACTTATAGGACTTTCACTTTTACCAATTTTGTGTTTTGCAACTACCTTACTATTGTGTCTCTATAGAATGCTGCGTCTCACTGTCCAATCAATATGGAAAGTTTAGTTTATGAGGACAGATTCAGTGCAGACTTGAAAGCTGCTCTATGGAGCAAAGTGTTTCTGTAATATATGCAAAATGCTTGTCTTCTTTTTTAACAGAGTTTAATGTGGGAGAACTTTGGAAGTCAGAATTGCAGACTGGATACTTGATGTTGAAAGCTGGTAGTTTGAGGAATAAGCCTGACGATAGATGCATTACTGTTAGTAACAAGTTGTAAGCTCCTTGGAGCAAGGTTAATCTTTTCTGGTATGAACCTGATCTACCATGATCTGAATGAGAATGTTACGTTTAATTACCAATTATTTGTCAATCTGTTCTTAGTTTTGATGCTATAAAATGTGAAATGCAGCTGTCCATTTTCGGTTTGGTTAAACAGTAAATTTGTGGGCAGATACACATATTTTAACCAATCCTAAATGTTTTTTTCCTTCAAAATATACTATTAGTTTCACAACTTTTGAAAGGGCTTTATTTGCCTGGCATTGTTTCAGAGAAGGCAAATAGGATTTTTTGTTTTAATAACATGTTTACTCAGCAAAATAGATGAAATCTGGGACTTTACATTATAAAACCTGTAATGCTCTTATGGTATATTGAATACAACCTGAAAGGACAAGAAAAATGTAGGTCCTTCTTTTTTTTTTTTTCTTCAGAGCTACAGTAGCCCATGAGCAAAGCATGAAAAGAGGTAAATGCTTAAACCTTTCATGGCTGAAGTGAGTTTTGGGGAGAGGATTGTTTAAATTCATTTTAGTAAACTTCAGTTTCCTTATTGTGATCTTAATGTTGTAGAATACTCCCCAGTCTGAGACAGACACATCTAAAAATCATAAGAAATACAAATTGAGAGTAGAAGATTTGCTTGAGATGAGTTAGATTGGTTTTAACAGCTGATATATGTCTCTTCAGGTGTCTGGGCAACGAAATCAATTTTAAAAGGCAAGAAGTTTGGACCATTTGTTGGTGACAAGAAAAAAAGATCTCAAGTTAAAAGCAATGTGTACATGTGGGAGGTAAGAAACAGCTTGTAAATGGGAAAAGGTATTTGTCACTAGGTCCATATTTTGTGTTTAGTCTTTAATTTTTCCCGAGATTTTAGAAATAGACGTGATGTGAAATAATTGCCATCTACCTTTGTCTGCCATTATAAACACTTATTTATAGACACTTGGGTTGAGCAACCATTCTGAATTACAAAGCTTGAAACTGTTGGCAATGTTTGAAATTGCTGTATTAATTTTCTTACATCTGTGTATGATACCTCCTCTTAAGAGTCTGTTGCAGATAAAGCTTTGCCTTGTTGGCTGGAACCTGGAGTGATATCCCTTCTGCAACTGAGAACTGTCGACTGCTTATGAAGTTAGGGAAATTAGAAGGATATGGAATCTTTTAAGGAAGCTGCAGCACTCCTCATTTAGCTCTTTGAAAACCAGCTTTGTTATGAGAATTGGTTTTGCTTTTGGAGTTTTTATAAAAGTTCTCAACTGTTGCAGTATTTCTTGTGCTGCTTGTGTTTGGGCTTGCCTTAAAGCAAATACTGTCTGGACAGCTGAATAGCTCTTTAAGCTCCGCTGATAGTCATAAGACCTTGGATATTATGTAGATTTCCTAATGTAGGTGTTTAATCTGGAGTTGAATCCTGACTACAGTGTCTTTAAGGCAGATCGTAACTACTTCCAAAGACAACTTCAGCCTTTCTCAAAACACATAGAGCACATGGCAAAGTAAATGGTCAAGGAGAGAGATGGAAGAACTGTGGCATAGCATGTTCTGAAACAGAACTTGCTAGTTTACAGATATTTAGGCTAAAGTTACTGATAGTAGTCATCCTTCTGGCCTGCAAAAGTTGGACTGCGGAATTGATCTAGAACAATTTCTCATAAATGAAAGTTCCCCTTCAGGAAGGTAATAAAGTGTTCAAGTATAACATTTCTTGCATTGAGCTAATATTATCCCAAGCTTCACTGCATAAGTTATCTCCAGTGCTCATCTGGTACAAGAACACTTAGATTGAATCAGTCAAGTAAATTATTGACCTTGCAATTGTTTTTTTTCTGTGCTGGATTTTGAATGTTCTCTGTGGATATGTCTTAATATTTTTTTTAAATTTGTGTTGAGAAATGATAGTCACAAACAAGCTGTTCTTAAGTTTCGTAGTTTGCAGTGCAGGCGATAACAGGAACCCTTCCTAGATTTCAGAGTAATCATATGTTCCTTTAATGCTGATTTTGGAATTTAAAAAAAGCAGCTAAAATGAGACTGCAACAGTGGGTGCCATATGCTGATATCTGAAACCACTCCAGAATTTTAACTGTTAGAAAATATGGTTTGTAAAAGGATGGTGGTGTGGGGGGAGTAGTTAGGTATATGGACCTTCAACTGGGAGAACGATCTTTTCCACAAGAATCTAATTTGTTTCTTTAGTGAAGTTAATCTGAAGAAAAATTATCATTCTGAATAAGATGAGTTTTATCTGTAGTGGTGCTGAGTGAATGTTGCAGGAGGTGATGAGGCTGGGTTTTGAAAAGAGCTTTTCCAGGCAGAAGCTGATATTTATAGACTTGACCAAAAGGGGGGGGGGAAAAAAAAAAAAAAAGGCTAACACTAAATTGCACATATTTTTCCTTTTTTTTGTTTTTCTAAACATCTGTGAGCTGTTCCATGCTTCTGAGACGTTGTGTATCTGTTAGTATGCCTGTGTTCTGAGACAGAGTAATGGAAAAATTATAGTTGCAGTTGCTGAACAGTGGGTGTGGTCTTTGGTTTGGAAAAAAATGTATAGCATCCACTGATAGCTGTTCTTATAGGCATCTAACTTGGATTATAGTAAGAAAAGTGGAAGATAGTTAACTATGTCTTGAAAGAGAAGGAGAGTTGCCTGTCACCAGAAAATACTGGAGATGTCAGTAACATTGCTTTATTGCAGACTGTCTTGACATATAAAACAGGAGTAGGTGTTAGAAATCTTTCTCCAAGAATAGAAAGCAAAGAATTTACACAGCATGGTGGAACATAGTTTTATTGACATGGTCAATTTTTTAAGGTGATCACAAGATCTCTGAAAGGTTAAGATTTTCTTTAATACCCTAAAAAAAGATTAAATTATGTTTTCCCTTCTCATTCCAAATGAAGCAAATGCTTCTAACATCTCTGTAGTTACTTTTCCCAGTTCATCAGATAGTAAAAATAAAGCTTTATTGCCTTCATATCTTAAAAATCAGTCATTTCACTAAATGCAAAATCTAGAGAATCATTTCAAGCTTGCCAAACTGAAAAGAAAGCAAAATATGTTTTAAGTGTTTTGGCTTTTGAGCCCAAAACCTTCAGCATGTACACCTCAGTGTCAGCAGTTGTCCATTTGCTCAGTGCCATTTTTCTCTCGCAGGTGTATTACCCAAACTTGGGGTGGATGTGTGTTGATGCAACCGATCCAAAGAAAGGGAACTGGCTGCGGTATGTGAATTGGGCACGTTCAGGAAAGGAGCAAAATCTGTTTCCTCTGGAGATCAACAGGACCATATACTATAAAAGTTTAAAGGTATCGATGTTTGAAGAATCAGTTACTGCTCTGTTCCCTTTTATTATTAGTACCTTTTATTCCCTTTTATTACAGTCCTATTTTTTTACTATTTGTATTAAACAGATTTTGAAAGATTCTATGAAAGATGATTAAAGTATGGCGAATGCTACTTTTCATTGGTCTAAATTCTTCTGTGCTGATACAGTTGACATCAAGATCCACTGTTAAAATACAGGATATTTATGAATATTAAGTCTGTCTTGTTAACGAGTTGTTGTAGCACCAAATTTGACACAAACTAGCATGAAAAACTATAGCAGATTACATAAATATTTTTCTATTTCTGTAGATAATGAGACACTTTCTACTGAGGATTTTTTGCAGAAATCGGTTATTTTTATGGTTTTTTGCGTTGTAGGACAAAGATTGGATGTCAAGACACTTTTATAGGTAGCTTTATGAAAGAAATTTTCTTGGTTTTATACCATTCCAGTTTTATTCGGGGAGCGGGAGGCAGGAAGAAGGATGTAATTTTTGGGGCACTGTGTCTCTCAAACTAGATAAGAAAGGGTTTAACTATAAGTGAAAGTAGAATATGTTAGTGTTAGAATATTGTGGCAAGGGGGTTCTTCAAAGAGCCGTCTTGTTTGCTCCTGCAGCAACCAGTTAGATGTGTGTTTGCTGTGAGATTGTTTGTTAGCTTCAGTTCAGTGTTTGCAATACCAGTCGCAGGCAAGCTTCTGGAAGTTCATGTTGGTGTCTGTGCTGCACGCTAGTTGGAGGGAGTGTTACATCCGAAATGGCGTTACCTCCAGGCTGCCCCTGCACAAAGGCTTGCGGCCGTACCTCTTAGAGGCTGGTGTAGAACCAGCAGCTCTGAGTAATTTTGGGCTTGGGTGTCACAGAAAGCAGGGTGCTGGGACCTGAGCTGGTATAGAACCACTGAGTTGTTTCTGCCTTGTAGACTTCGTTCCAGAAACACAGTGTGGACATGCTCAAACCAGTTCAGCGTGAGCCAGGCTGGGATGGCTTGTATTAGTAATCCCAGCTTCACACTGCTCAGAAAGAAGCAAACTGTTTCCAGGACCAAGTTAGTCCAAGAAGCATTGCAACCGTGGTTCAGCAATGTGCTCCTGCTGTTCCTTGATTGTCACTACACGTGTGACACAGGTAACTTGGCAGGTAATTTAAGATGTGACTGTAGAAGTGTGCGAGTTGCTTCGCTATGCAGATCTAGGTTAGAATGTAAAGTTTACCTTGCTCTGTATTGGGGAAAAAAAGCTCACAAATCTGTAATAACGAGTGTTTGTTAGAAGTGCATACTGGTATTCCGATTATTTTTTGAGCCATCTATTTCAATGTACTTTATTCTCTTCTCGCACCTTTTAGGGAAGTGATCTGTAAAGAAAGTTCTGATCTGGCTAATCTGTGATGATTTTTGAAGTGAAAGCTTGACATGAAGTTGGACAGTTTTCACTACCATTAAACATTCAGCATTCAGGGAGTGTACCGATAAATCAGGTCAAGACTTAAAGTCACATTTTGTAGTTTTTAATTGCACAAGTAGACTATTCTTGTAGTTTATAGGAATATTTAAAATCCAATATTCTGTTTAATTTCTTGTCCGTTTCAACAATATGAAACCCAAAGGACATTAAGAAAGCTTGTCTTGCCTAGTGTTTTGTAAACTTATTTTTTCATTATGATAAAGAGATGAATTTATAGTAACCAGGCTTTTTAAATAAAGTTAGTATGAAGAAATTGGAAGTTAAGCTGCAAGTGACTGACTGCGTGGATAGGAGAAGTATTATGTAGAGGAGGAGATTTCAAATGTGTGGTCTTAAGAGCAAGTTACTACATTTAACATTTAAATATTATCTGTTGTATCAGTTTTTACTATCCTATGCCATAGAAACTGCAGGGAAAATTCATAACTTGGAAAAAAATTGTGCTGGTTTCTGTTTTCTTTACAAAATAAGTTTGCTTCTGTGTCTCACCTTCTGTATTGGAGATGATGTTATTATAGGGTCCATTATCGGTCTTAGATGCACATCACACCCTACTGACAACTGAGACAAAATAAAGCGTGTGATAAATAACATCTTAAATGTCCCTCTCCTTCTGCATATAACTTACTGTGTACACACTGCCATTTGAAACTGGTGTAAATTTACTAGAGCGGGTGTGTACACATGGTTCCTTCTATCATAATTTATAAATTTAGGGGAATTCCATTTAGTGATAAGTAAACAGCAGTTTTTAATTACCCCCAAAAGAGAATTAGAGTGGCTTGTATGTCATTTTGTTCTGCTTTACCTCAAAGCATTTAAAATGTTGCCATGGTTATTTATTTTTTCCCAAGGTTTTCTTCAGCTTTTTGTGGGTTTCTAATTTGTAAGGTAAACAGGCTGATTTCCAGGCTTCGTGGGTAAGATAAGCAAAGTCCAAATTTGCTTGGTGTAAAAGAACCTCAAAACTGCACAGAGCTTTAACTTCCTTCTCTGCTGTAAATGAATAGTAATAGGATAGAATTTTTAAGTGAGCACAAACAAATATTTTTCTCTTCCATCTTCTCTTTATCTTTACTGAAGGACTGAGGATATTTGTAGGCTGCTTTGCATATGCTTTCCCAAGGGTGGCATATATGAGAGTTATGATATTTCACTGAAACAGCTTAAACTCATTATGGGTTTTCAGAAGTTCTTCCTGCCTCTCCTAATGAAATGAGCTAGCTGAGGAGTGTTATTCTGCACACAGTACAGGACTTTGTAGTTCTTGAAGAAGTAGAATTGCAGTGAAAATTCACAGAAAGTCTTCTAAATAAGGTCAGCTGTGAAACTGTACTTGATTAAGGTGAAATTAATTTGTTTATGGAAGAATGTTCTGCCAAGCAGGTTTATAAGAGCTCAAGAACCTCCCTGTTACATAAGAGTGCAGTGTGAAGAATACACTCAAGTACTAATGCCACAGACTGTCCACCGTGGTTATGTTTGGGGAGATAGGGACACATCCAGGTGTAACGGCACAGTGTCACGGTAAAATGCAGTGTCTGTGGTGAAAAATGATTAATAAGGTCAGACATGCAAATGCCCATCGGTCTGTATGAGACACATTGCAGTGCTTGTGCGTGTACAGTGGATTGAATTTTAGATGATCTGTGCTAGAACTTCTTGGGATATAACCTGTTAGGATATTACTATTGAAAATAACAGGTTTTGAAATAACTTTAAACCTTTTGAAGAGAAAATACTCTGATTAAGGAATGCTAAAAGTTGCAGTTAAAGCACCAAAAAGTTGGTGGTGTTGGGATTTATTAACCTTTTCAAAATTCCTGTCTTTAACCAAGTGATCCCAACACTGCTCCACAGACAATCTGTAGGTAATAGTTTGGAGGAGTTTGGTTTTTGGGGTTGGGTTGTTATCAGAGGGTGTTGTCAGGATGAGACGGCCGTGTGTTCCCTAGTGGCAGAAGAAGTGGCGCTCGGTCAGTGTGGTCCTTTGGGAGCCGTTTGAATTGTCTGGTGTTGAAGCTGCCACTGCATCTCATTTCAGAAGTACAAGGTTAGACCGCTTCATTTAGATTCGAGAGTAGTTACACCAAAACTAAATTTGTCAAGTTGACTGTTAGTTCCAGCCATGCAGCTAACAAATTACATGCTCGTTATCATCCTGCATTTGCATTGCCTGAATTTTTTGCCAGCTCTTTTTGCTGAGTTTGTATATTGTGTAGATGATAAGTTGTTTTGCATCAGGCAACTCTTCTTCATTCCTTGCTACTGAACAGCTGCAAAATGGGACCATGCAAATAGGTTTACCGCTATTTATCCTATCAAGCCTCCGGAACTGTTAAGGAAGCCAAACCATAGGCTTTGCTTATATTGTAACTTAAACACTTCACATAGCTGTTGGGATCTTGCATCTCTTGTTGTTCCAGTGTCTGGGGGTATAAAGATAACTATCTTCTTTATCAACTGCTGTGAGACCCACTAAAAAAAAAAAAAGTGCTTTAGAAGAAACAAATGTTACTTCCTACAAAAAGTCCCTTTGGCTTCAGACTTGAAATAATAGTCTAAGGATACCCTTTGCTCTAACGTAGTGACTCTAAAAATAGTGTCTGATCTCCACAAGCCCACGTTCATTGAGCCCTGGAGAAAGGGGGATTGTAGTTAAGGTAAAGGAAGGGATTTGAGTTGATTTGTCTTGGTTTTGGATAGAATGCTTCAGGAAATGGAGAGATAATCATGAAGATTAGGTACAAATACATTTTCAGTCTGCAAACTTGGGGACTTAGTAGTTTGATAATGTTTTAAGGATCATATGAAATAATAACAGAAGCTGGTATTGATCAGTTTGGTGACCGTGCTGGGAGTATGAGTGGCAATTGCAGTGACACCTACTTGACCAATTTGCTCTTTCCTGTGAATTTTTGAATTGGATAAAAAAAAATAGAAATAATAACTTTGGAATGGCAAACAAATCTTTCATTCTTGTGATAAGGTGGATCTCTCAAACTTAATGATTATCTGTGCCTCTGTGTTGCCTTTACTCAAGGCGACAGTATTTTCCTGTATCTTTAGATTTTGTTCCAAATTCCCGCTTTAGTGGATAACTGAACAGTTTTACTCGTTTAATGCTTTGAGTAAGGTAGGTGTGTTTAGCTCAAGTAGTGCCGATAGCTCCCTGAGGAGCATTAAACAGCAAATAGCAATAGGAATAACCACCGGGGTCACTGCTGCGAGCTCAGTCTGCACGGATTTAGATCGGTGTCGCGCTTTGAGAAATCAAAATTTGGGGTTCTCCCGCTTGAGGTTTCAAGTCTATTTAATAAGTGTGTATTGTTGTGTAATTAATTGACAATACTGGCGGAAAAGGCCGGTTTCTCGGGGCGAGGCATCCTCGTTACAGTCGGAAAGAGGTCGGGGGGGGTCCCCTGGGAACCGGCCCCGTTCCCGTGCTGGGAGG